TGCTGATGTCGTTCCTTGGCGCGTGATCAACAAACTGAATCCTGCCGTCTTTCCGCGCATACAGCGGCGACATCTGCTGGACGTAACCAATGACAATGTCCAGATCAAGCTCGTGCCTGCGCGTCACCGATATCTCGTCTTTGGCCAGCATCGTGTAGCCGTCGTTTCCTGCCGCTATGAAGGTGGTCATGGCTACCCGGTAAGGCTTGTGGGGCACCACGGGCTCAAACCGTGGCGTCCCTCCGCTCGACTCCGCCGCCACGAACAGGCTCACAACGCGCTGGCCGAGAGGCTTGGCCATGTCGTACACGACGCGGATGCCAGAGATCTGCAGGAAGCGACCTGATTTCCCTAACTCCTTCGCGACACTGTTCTCTAAAGCTTTGCGCAAGGCCGAACCGTATATTTCAACGACATCGATCGTGTTCTGGTACGGGATCACCGTCAGAATGGAGGCCAGGGTGATGTTCCCTTTCCGGATGTTGTACTTGATGGAGCCACTGTTGAACATGGCGACCACTGTCCTCGGAGTACCATAGGCGTGGTGTTTCTGTAGAGACCACACCATAGCGTCGGCGATCATGCTGCCAATGTTGCACTCGCCGCTGTAACACATGTCAAAATTGCCGATCAAGTCAACCAGAGTGGATCCAATTATCTCATTCAACTTGGGCACGAGCATTTCAGTGTAGTTATGAAAGGCCGCAGCGGTGGCGTTGTCTTCTTTGTCAGCCGGCTTAGCGTTGTAATCAAGGTCTTTAGTTGGATCCGCTTGAAGCTGAGGCTCAATGAAAAGGTACACCTCTGGAAAAACATCGTCCACCTCGTCATCGTCATTGAATATGACGTCCAACACTCCCAGATATTTGCCATGTTTGAGCATCTGCGTCACGAGCACCTTGCGCCCGCTGGCCTGCACTACCACAGTTGGATAAATACCTTTGGCGCGGATTTTGTCAGTTCTGTCACGCGGTGTGCCTGGTTTGAATGGGTCTCTCTTGTTTGGCCATAGAAGTGTGTGAGAGTGCGCTCCAATGATGATGTCTAGGCTGGGTACCATATGCGCTATCTCCAGGTCGCGCTCGTAGCCCGAATGCCCCAGTGCCACGAAGATTTTCAGCCCATCAGTCCGTCGTTTTCGTATTTCTCTGGTCAGCGCTGTTACTTCATCCTCGAACGTCACGTAGCTGACCTGTGATATATAGGCCGTTACTGGCGTGGTGTAGCCGAGGATGCACACCTGCTTCGCTTTGTATTGGATTATCTTGTAGGTCGGGCAATAATGTCTCATCTCTTGCCGCAGCGATGCGTTTGCGATCTTGTCGAAACGAATGTTTGTGCAAACAAACAACGGCCCGATGGCGCGTAAAAATGGGATCAGTCCGTCGAGACCATCAACAAATTCAGAGTTGCCCAGAGCCAGCGCGTCATATGGCATGTATTGCAACATGTCAGCCACAAAACGCCACTTGAATACAGAGTAGAACGTGGTGCCTTGAAAGAAATCGCCAGGGTTAACTACCAGAAAATTAGCGTCCGGTTTAGTGGATTTCAGATTTTTCACGAACCAAACGGCTCTGGCAAATCCACCATAACATGGCCGTTTTTCTAAGTAAGTTTTCATGCAGGGGTTCAGGTAAGTTGTTACTGTACCAAAATGTGCATGCAGATCATTATGATGCACAATTATCAGGTGAAACAAAGATTGAGCTTCATGAACCCATTTCATCAAAGAGCACACGAGTATTATATTTGCCGGACTGTGCATTTTCCCATTTCAAAAGCGCATTTCCTGAGAGAGCGGAAAGCTCAGTTTACACTTCAGGAGCGGACACGGCTCCGATATGAGATTACCCATCCAAGACGTGTCTTTCTGTACATGTTGCCATTGCTGAGCTTCTCAGGCTGCTTCACCGCTGCTGTTTGACGGAGATGGCCAGGAAAAGTCGCTACCTGAAGCGTTGTTCACTCCCCACACCCATAGCCGGTTACTTGCTGGTTGAAGGCGGGCTTTTGCGCAGATTGGAGTCTCAGCATATGAGAAAATCAATGTCACGAAAGGCAGAATTATTTGTGTTCAATAGGAAAGTTGAATGGAACACGTTGAACGGCATTCAGAACATGCTTCTTTCACTAACAGCCCAGTTTTTTTTTTTATTTCCCGGCAAGCTCGTTATGTTCCCAAGACGGCTGTTCTATCAGGTTATTTCCATTCTTGCTTGTGTCCCAGTGATTATTTTTTGGAGAACGTGATCTTCTTTAGACACCCCTTTGATGGATGATATCTAATCACGTATATAGTTTTATTCATCCATGCTATAGCTTTAAATGACATCAATGCGCAGTACCTTTCCAGATAGATCATCTTAATCGTCTTACATGCTATGAAAATCTTAACCTGTCTTCAGGGAATTCCCAGATGAGGAGCAAATCATAAAACTAATGGCATGCATGCGTCCATGATCCTTAAATGCGGCCAATATACGTGAGTCAGTAGATAACCAGTCACTAACCCCTTTAGTTGTACTTGCAGCCACCATATGATCAGGGTTGTCGGCGCGATCTAAAATCTAAGTCACCATCATCATCACCTTGAACTCACACTTTGAGGTGCACTAATGCCTTCAAGCGGCATGCTCGTGTTTCACAGATTGTATGCAACGTACGAAATTGAATGCTAGCGTTGTTATTGTTACTTAGCTTAAAATATGTTGGCATGCATTCAATTCAAACTAGTAATCGAACGAACCTTCCTCAACGTTCATGCCACTGACGCATATGTATTTGACGAGAGCTCACATTTCACCCTGACAGCGTTGCATGCCTCATGCGTTTGTCGGGGGTTCGTGCGCAAGACCGGAGATAGCAAAGCATCTGTTTCTGCCGCTCTGCCAGAATAGATAGCATTGGTTTGCAGAAGATTGAAGAAGCGCTATATCTGCGTCAAATATCCTGCCATGGAAACGATTTTGGTGAAGGCATGAGCTGCCTGCGCGCAATTTGACCAAACAGTTTTGGTGCGCTGACAACAATAACATGGAATGCTGGGTTTACTGAAAAATATACGTTCAAAATCGAAATGTGTATAAAAATAACGTCTATAGAAATATGATATAAATACAAAGCTAAGAATAATGACATAATATTTAATCTGCCTTTATCTCCTTATGGAACCGCCCCTTGCTCCTGTTATTTGGTAAGTGAAGATATGAATGGATTCGCGCCACTAACGCCTACCACGGCCTTCTTGGTATGGATCTCCACGGCACCCATGGAGATGGTACTCATTTTAACCCGAGACAAATGTTGCCAAAGCGTTCACGCTACCTGGTTGTGCATCGGAGCTGATGATGCACATCAAAGCAGCAAAAATAAATACTGGCAACATTATTGGAGGCATTCTTCGGTAAGAAGACCGCCACACAGGTAGAGACGCATATATGTTTATTGGGCACATCCATTCCATGGGCGATATGGTGTTCACGTCAATACATGATAGTAGGGCACAATGTCCACGATGTCTTCGCAATGCACGAAATTCAACATAGAATAGCTAAAGCGAACACAGGGAAAGCAATTTCAGTTGTCCCCACACCATAAAAAGCAAGGATGGCATGGGGAAAATGCAAAGTTGGTTCATATCACCTGAACTCTCGCTCACCGAACAACGCGGAGCGAGTCTGCTGACTCACTTGCGATGGCAGGCTATTCCAAGCGGCTGTGGCCCGCAAGAAAAAGCCCCGACGGGCGACCTCTGTCTGCACTCTGAGCAGCTGCAGCTGGCCGTCCTTCGAAGCACGCGTGCGGCGGGCGGACGCGTCAGAGCGGCGGAGCAGCCGCTCGCGCAACAAGCCGGATGAGCCGGGTTCAGTGATGACCTGTCGCATGGCGATGACATGACGGTCGGTGAGTATATCATTAAATTTACACCACCAAATTTACACCACAAATTTACACTCTTGCAGTGATGGAGTCAGCAGGTCGCGCCGGTAAAGGACAGTCATAAGAGGGATGGCAAAATTGACCGCCTTCTGAATGCGCTGTCTTTGCGTTGGCATACAAATTTCCCACGCAGCATACAGTAAGGTGTGCGAGGAAAGACGAGAGCTTCCACCAGCAGCCGCCTGGTACACATCGGCACCTTTTAGCGGATTCCGCTCAGTACCAACGGGGGACAACGTTGCCACCAGGTACCACCAGGTACCACCAGGTCGCACCGTTCAACACACCGCAACACCGCAACACCGCAGTGGCACTGCTGCTGGTAGGCTCTGTTGCCGGCCAGGGCTGCACCTCCGGCGCCGGCGCCGGTCGCTTCGTCAAACTAGGGCTCACTCCTGTGTCCAATCCCCTCCACGTCGCCGGAGTCGTCATGCACGTTGTAGGTCACTATCTGTGTTCGACCGTCGGGCAGAAGCACCCGGTACCCGCCCTGCTCCCCCGAGCTGGAGGCGTCGGCGCGCGGGGCGGGCGGCGAGCCGTCACCCCGGCGCACGCGCAGTGCAGCGTGTGAGTACGCCAGCACCGCCATGACTATCAGCAGCACCTGTGGACATCGTGGCACTCGGGAAAGGGCACAGGAACAGCGCGCACAGGGGCTTTGCCCGATGGCTGTGAGGTTGGATCTATCGGATTAGTGCATTACCGTTACGAAGCTGTGAGTGGTGGCAGAGAGCCCCATTGAACGTATGCAGGTCAATAATGACTAGCTGACCAAAATATAAAAGCGAGCCATGGTGTGCTTAGCAGACCTGTTTCAACATTTTGGAGGCCATCACTTGAATTCACATACTGTGTACAAGATCCAGCAATCCTCCAAAGAGACCATGCACGTCACAACGATGAATGCTGTCTTGCGTGCAGTAGAATCGCTCAAGGCTTTAGGAATACGCATGCACGGAAAAACATATATGGGAATGCCAGAAGAAGGAAGAAACACAGTACTGATCGGAAATGTTGACTACGTATTTTAGAGACGAAAATAAATGCGATTACTAGCGCACAATATCTTGTTAGTGATGTAGTTTTGCTCCCCAGCGCAATTTACATTAATGACAGTTCGTAATAGTTCACCACATCACGTTTCGAAATTTGTTCCAAAGGTGAGGCACTCGTTATTAACATGCCAGGCAATACGCGTGACAATTGGAAGGTGCGCCCATTCCGTTCACAGTAAAAGCCGTCTGCGCGCTTAAACCTATACGTATTCAGTTGTACAGAACGCACCCGCGTAGCAGTGCGCCTGCATGCCGTTATCTCAGCCGTTTTATTCGTGCCCCGTTTTTGTACTACCCTCGGCTGCTCCGTGCGCAGCCGCGCACCTGTGGAATATGTCTGCTGCGCGGAGGATCTTCAGCGGAAGCACGCGACCGTCAGGTTACAGCCAGCGGTAGGCCGGCAAGCAAGCTGGATTTTTTGTCCGACGAAAACCGCAAATTTGCTGCGGGTTCTGTTTCGGGCCACTGCCATTTTACGTCTGCCTCTCACTCGGCTTGGACAACAGTGTGTTGCTTTCGAGATCGGATTGTAAAAAACGCGGCATTCGTCGCTTCACGATTGATTGCTGACGTCCCTACGGATCGGACAGTGATTGGCGGCATGGGTGGTTTGTAGACGGCACAGGCGCCTACATCATGCAGTTGGCTTCATGGCGTTACGTGCATGGTCTGCTGAGATCTGACATAGATCCTGTAAAATGTCCAGAAACTGCCGGATCCGTGTTTTTTAACGTGTTTGAGAAAAAACGTTTGGTGCCGATACTTCATACGCTGGTAAATTATCTTTGTGGCGTTATCGTACGTGGTATGTTAACCTTGTAATGACGCATACGTGTTGTATTTTCATTCAAGTCGGCGTCATGCCTTGTCTTGCGTTACATGCCATAGTACTTTTTTACATCAGCGTCACGTGCGGCAAGTCATTTTGGTCCGCCGAAGCTCGTTGTCAAGCCAGTAAGTCAAACCCGGTCACGTCCGTCAAACATTCACATGCTTCCGGGCATTTGTGCGCACATCATACAAAAAAGAGGTCCTGGCTGATCAAGCATTTAGTTCACTTCTGTCAACTGTTCTGTTCTTGCGGACTAAGGGGCATGTGGTTAAGATCATGACATATCAGGACCTGAATGATTTTTGCGGGACCTTGGTTTTTTATCCATTGTCTACCGTCAACTAGCGGTACGTGGCAGAAAAAGCACCAATGACATCAGTTTCGATAATGGTCGTACCGACCGCTGCCGCCTGGCGAGGCACGCAGTTTGTGCCCCCGTTTGACACGAAGGCTGCAGCGCTGCGTGTGTGTGTGTGTGTGTGTGTGTGTGTGTGTGTGTGTGTGTGTGTGTGTGTGTGTGTGTGTGTGTGTGTGTGTGTGTGTGTGTGCGTGTGTGTGTGTACGTGTGTGTGTGTGTGCGTGTGTGTGTGTGTGTGCGTGTGCGTGTGTGCGTGCGTGTGCGGTTAATCGCAAGTGGCGCAATGCCCCTGTTGGCGGATCGGCCGAGGCCCAAAAAGGAAGAGCTCGGTCGTGGTGTTGGTTCCGGGTGGCGGGCGCGTGCCTCGGTGGGGACCGTTTGACCCACGGGCTCCCATGTGAAAGGAACTGGCCTTCATCCGGCCTGGTCTCCTGACGCGCGCTCCTGGCCGCTTGAATCGCGTCACGATCAGGGCCGGCTCGAATGTGAAGATGTGTAGGAGATGGGGCCAGGGGGGTGGGATGGATGAGGTTAGACTGTTTGGGTCTCTTCCGCCCATTCAATACCAGCTAGGTCAGACTGTTTGCGGTCTCTCCCGCCCATTCAATGCCAGCTAGGTTAGACTGTTTGCGGTCTCTCCCGCCCATTCGATGCCAGCTGTCTACGTGAGTCATGAGCTTGTTAAGATCGCGTGTATAAATGTCAATGGACCTCGACCGATTGGCCATACGAGTGAGCAAAGGCAATTGTTTGCTGGTTTAAGAAACGGAGATTGGTTGCAGTGTTCACGCAGGAGACACATTCAGCATCACGACTGGGACCACGTAGCTCAACTGTACATGTGGAAGAACATTTGGCAAATGGAGAAGACGAGGTGTTTCCGCTCACGGCGACAATAGGAGCAGAGGGGTTGATATCCTGATCACTCCAGATACGGAAATGTCCATTCAAACAATCGTTGAATGCCCTCAGGTCCTTTTGTAATTCTCTTCGTCGATTTCAACGGGAACGTAGTTTTTAGAAACCACAAACGGCCCGAACACAGACAGACACTTTCGCAACGTACTTCACGAGTGAGAGCTGGGGACACATGGGGTGGGATCTCAGCCTTGGCTTAGATGTGAATATCGATAGGGTTACAGCTGTAGCCAGGGATGCAACAATGACGGATGGAAGCAGACGGTCCACAAATGCATGCGAGGAAACTTCCAAATAGATGTTTGGAGACCACTGAACGAGATGAACGATCAATGAACGACCGTGGGGTTCGCATGTTCACGCGTGGGAAAGAACACCCGCTGAATAAATCCAGG